AGTAAGGACAATCATGTGCTTTAGTACTTAATTATTTTCTTTCTATAGACCCCTATGTCATTTTAAATTGGCACAGAAGCAGTTTTCTTAACCAAAAGGCTTCTTAGCACTGAATTATCATATAGGAGGTATTTTGCTATAAGCACTCCAGAACAGCGTTTGTCAGAATAACCTCAATTTTATAGCAACAGCTAAAATTTTCATAGCTAATTAGACTATTTTTTCCCATAGAAAATGTTTGCCATTTAAAATAGCTTGCCAACTCCTGGGACATTATATTAAACAATGTCTCTTTTCCTTTTCTTTATACTGCAGATTTGTAACATGATGAATGCACCAGCAGATGAATATTTCACATTTCAGGTAATATCAGTAATAGACGAAAATATTGTAGAAAAAATACGTAATGATTTTCACCAATAATATGCAGTTGATTACATATATAATTTTCCATTATTTAGAACCCAGTTAAGTCATTTTTCCTAAAAGGACCACCACTTACAGAGATATGCAACTTCTTTTCTTTCCTACAGAAAGGACCTGTGGATGAGACTGGATGGATAATCAAAAACGTCCTGTCATTGCCTATTGTTAACAAAAAGGAAGAAATTGTGGGAGTTGCTACATTTTACAATAGGAAAGATGGAAAACCTTTTGATGAGTATGATGAGCAGATCATTGAAGTAAGCTTAATAAGATAAGAGGCTTTTGAGTAGCCATACGTTAATCAGAATGTTATTAAAAAATGCAGCTTTAAGTGTCTAAGCATTTTCTAGTAGGCTGTAATAACATCTAACCAAAAGTCTTCAGCCTTTTTCACTGTTTAGTTTCTTAAGAATCAGAGAATTTTATTTTGCTTTATAAAATTGAACATGAAGATTTGAATTCCAGTCATAAAAAATCATGTCTAGCTTTTGCTCATCATATCTTCTATCAATAACAGCCAGTGTCTCCCTATTAACAGCTGGTATGTAAGGATGGCATCCTGCTTCCTAATGGAAATGATGCCTGTGATGATTGCTCAGGGAATAGTGCATCCAAGTCAACCCAGCTGACTTGCTTGCATGCATAAGCCTTAAATTCTTACATACAAAATCTTACCTGCATAGATCAAGACATATCTGCATGAAGAGCTGCAAGGTGCTTAGACACCCTGCTGATAGATGTGCCACTAACACTTGGAGTTTTACGATACTTTTAAAAGGGTACTGCAAACAGAAACTGCAATTTAAAGAAGGCAAGTTCAAATTGTTAGCTTCACTTCATTGTCATGGTATCAAGTCCACTTCTCTTGTCTCTGTCCCAGACTCTCACACAGTTCTTGGGCTGGTCTGTTTTAAATACTGACACTTATGACAAGATGAATAAGCTTGAAAACAGGAAAGACATTGCTCAGGAAATGCTCATGTACCAGACAAAGGCCACTCCTTCTGAAGTTGAATCTATACTGGTGAGTTTCTGTCCAGAGCCATAGAATTGAAGTAGGAAGTTTGCTACACAGAAACAAATGTTAAATGAAGTTATTTTCATTTTTTAGAAATACAAAGAGAAATTAAATGCAAAGACTATAGAAGATTGTGAGGAAAAGGATCTTATCAGGATTCTGGTAAGTAGCTACACTGAAAATTTGAACTTCGATTGCATGACTATACTAGATAATACTGTATCTTCATTATAGTAGAAGCTGAATGTAGCCAAATCCAGTTTAATACAATGACAAATACAAGACAGAGTTGTTTTAATAATGTCTACAGCTTTTTAGAACCTCTCCTTTGCATTCCACACTATTACTCACTTTCCTAAGTATCTGCCAGCACACTTTGTTAGCCAGAAATTATACACAAAATTTGGTATGAATGCTTAAAGCATTGAGCTGCAATAAACAACCACAAGGACAGTGCTATTTAAAATGAAAAGAGGTTCATTAATGCAAGTTCATTTTCATTGTGAATAAGACAAGGAAGGAGCATCCAATGGGACAAACCTGCTTTCAGAGTAGTTTTCCCAAATTTCCATGGGCAGAGCAGTCCAAAGGCCATGATCAGAGACCTCACAATAACAAAGCAAATTTGACTTGATTTGACATTTAAAACTCCACAAAAATTCAGACAGAGATACTTCCTTCTCCAGAGTCTGTAGTCCTCTGACTGCATTAGTATTTCTGGAATTGGAGTGAGTGCACTTAGGAAGCAAAGCTCCCGTTTGGCTCACTGAATTTCCTTTTCTTCCCTCATAAAGCAGCTGTGTAGCATATGCTCTGGTCTACTTTGCCTGAACCAACACCAAAAGATAGCCTCCAGGGAAGCATTGAATATATTCCTACTACTAATGCACAATTAGTACACAGGACAAAAACAGATCTAGGCCAAGGAAAAGCCCTGATAACATATACATCAAAGATGCTAAGTTCTAGGATCAAGCTTTAGACATATTTGCACCTATTGCACCATGCTTGTTAATGTAGACAATCTTAATGAGAAAAATCTCATTAAACTACTTCTGACTGTGTATATGTACCTGTCAGAATGCAATTCTGTTAAAGTTTTATCAGATTCCATAAAACAGATGCTTGCAATCAAGTTGTGAACTCAAAAAAACAGACTGTTTTAGCTTCATATACCTTTAAAAATAAATGCTTTAACTATATGAAAAAACATATTTTAAAATCCCTCCACTTGCTGAGCAACAATTCACTAGTATAGGCCTCCAAAAAAGAAGTGGTATAGATTTTTTTTTTTTTTTTTTTTTTGTCGTCTCCAGAAAGCATTAAAATGAATTCTCTATACATTGTGTCACAAATGTAAAGATCTGTTATCTCCTGCAGTGCCAAGGCTGCATGCAAATCCTATTAGGAGGCCTGGAATCCCAGCTCACTAATTGGATAAAGCAGGTGTTTCTAGATCTGATGATTCACAGAGTAATGGGTCTTAAAACACCACTGCTCCAGGCTTCCTTGACTTTGACCTCAACCTCAAATCAGAGTGAATTTACATTCTACTAGCTAAAGAAATAGTTGCACTAATGTTCAGCCTAATTTGCTGAAATATAGGCATAAGGAAATCATTGCAATTATACACCTTAAGTTCTGTATTGCATCAGACTTGCCTGATATAATTCCTGTTTTGATTGGGACACATCATTTCAAATATAACACAGCTCCCTCAAACTTTGAGATGTACAGATAAAAAGTATTATGAAGCAGTTTATAAGTATCACTATTACCAGTTAGGCTATTCAAGGTTTATCTACACAGCACATGCAAAGGAGACAAATCAGATTCAATATAAGACTCTCAACTTTTATATACTATGTTTTAGTATTTAGTATGAGCTTTCTAGAGGTTCTTCAGTGCAAGAGGTGCTGTACTGTGCTCTCTATCCGTCCTTCAGAGTTAGAAAAATCCCTGAATTGTATTCAGCCAGTACCTAATAAAGTCTAGCACATTCGGAAAATAATATGCACTTAGGCTTTCCATGACTTTTGTAGCAGGCCCCTCATTTTCATCAGACTGGTTAGAATAGGCTGCTTTAAACAGAAAAGACATAGCCAATAGTCACCACCATCCACAGCAGTGAAGAATTGACTATGTAACAGATTTGAAGTTATGACCATGAATACTATGTGCCCTGTATATTCAGGCATCCTAACAGCATTTCCTTTATGCACATACTGAGTTCACTCAAGAGCGCAGCAGTGAGGAATCCACTGCAAGGCTACAAACATGGTCACAGGTGCCATCAGTCACTCAGACTGTCAATTATTACAGCTCATCTTGCAGGATTTTCAAAGTTCTCTTTCCACGTGCCAAATCAGCTCTTCAACACTCTCCATTAAGTGTAAAAAGAGTATCACAGATACAAAGAGATAATCTCATGGGATGCAGGGAAAGATAGATTAATTCTGAGGGGTGGTTGAGGAGCAGCAAAAAACAGCAGCCCTGCAAAAGTTAACACAATTATAGGATTGTACAGGAATCTTTGTTTGCCTATAGAGTCTTCTCTCCAGAAGACAACTGGAGATGGGCAAGTAAACATGCCTTCTGTTGTTTTAAAAGTAATCTCATTGCTATACTTTCTTCTACTTTGAAGAAGTAACTTATTTCATTTTAAGGTGGCTATTTTCAGTCATCATACCTATACGTATTCCTAAGATCCCAAAGACCACCACCACTTTCCAAAAACAGCAGAGGCTGTTGAATAAATTTTGCTATGAAAAGGGTTAACTGCAGCCTTGAGATAAGGCTAATCATGGGAGAATCATGAAATTTTACTCCTGACTGGGGTAAAACTGGCTGTAAAAAACACCAAGGCCTAGTACTTCCTAACCAAGGAAATAGTTGGACGTTGAGCAGAGGAACATGCTGGAATTTGTGGCAGCTTAAAACAACAGCTGACAAGGCCTTCTATCTATTCTCTTTAAGAAGAAAACCAGCAATGATCACTAGTGTGTTTCATAACTTAATATGCATTACTTTGTGCTGAAACTTGATCTTTGAAGATATAATAAGCATACTGTCCTTAGGCAATGTTCCCAATGTTCCACAGTGTGTGTGTGTGTGGGGGGGGGGGGGGGGGCAAATTATAAAAAACACAAAACTCATTCCAGCTTTGTTCTTGCCACAAACACTCTCATGGCTTGATTCTTCCTGAACAGAAAGAAGAACTACCTGACCCAAAAGACCTAGAACTCTACGAATTCCGCTTCAGCGACTTCCCAGTCACAGAGCATGGTTTGATCACCTGCGGAATCCGGTTGTTCTTTGAGATAAATGTTGTGGAAAAGTTCAAAGTTCCAGCAGAGGTTTGATTTATAATAAGTCTTACTTATTTCCTTTCAAGATAGCAGAGAAATAGCTGAGTACTTTAATACAGATGGGCACTACACTAAAAAATTAGTAAAAAGCGTAACTATCCCTTCTTAATTAAACATTTACCTACTTATTATACAGATTAGAACCTTATCCTGAAATTGTGTGACCTACGTAAGGAATTAAATCAGTACACAGTTACATAAAGACAGTTTGCTGATTCCATGTTTAACTTGATAGAAAGCAATTGTTTTTGTGTAACATGCACATTCCCCCCCTCCTTTTTTTTAAATCTCTAGCATATTGTTTCAGTTAACAGCTGTTTCTTTATTCATAACAGGTACTTACAAGATGGATGTACACAGTCAGAAAGGGTTACCGGGATATCACTTACCACAACTGGCGGCATGGATTCAATGTGGGACAGACCATGTTTACTTTGCTAATGGTAACATTGCTAATATTAAGCTTGCATTCAGCTTTCCTTTCAGTTCCAGCTGCAAAATTCAGGCAAGCTCAAAATTGTCTATTTTCTTCTACAGACAGGCAAAATAAAGAAATATTATACTGATCTGGAAGCCTTTGCCATGGTGGCTGCTGCTTTCTGCCATGACATTGATCACAGAGGAACCAATAATTTGTATCAAATGAAGTAAGTGCAAATACCAAAGTATATGGCCAGGGGTATTTACAATAGCAAATGAAAAACAATGTCAGTACCTGCAAATTGTATATATTCCATATACAATTAGTATAATCTTAGAATAAAAGGTAACATGAGTTTATAAGTGGGCAAATTACCCCCAAAGTATTTTTCTGTTGTTAGTAGTTGTTTGTCATCACCCAACCTGAATTAATTTCATTTCAAACCTGCCTACATACTTATGCATCATAGTGAAATCCACTCTTCTCATGAAGAACAGTCAACCCAATAGTCTTCCATGGCATTTTTAAGGGCTTCTAAGGCTAGCCAGAAAGCAGAAGCTTCTCAAACTGTTATGTGTGTCAACGGATTATAACCATAGCTTTCTTAGCACTGTTTCCCACCAAGTACATCTCCAGTATGATTCATTCTCCTCCCCTGCCCCTTGGCACCCTCCTCCAGGAGAGGAGCTTCATATCGCGTACTGGACCCATGATGCTCAGGGATTTTCTGATTATTGTCAGGGATTCTCCAGGTGACGTAGGAGAGGAAGAATAAGGGACACCAGTTCTTATGCAGCTGACTGCTACTTGCCCAAATCTTCCTACTGCAGTCTTTCCTAGCTGAAAGCCCTCTGAGTGAGGTCAGACACATTCTATTTATAAAAGTTATCAGGCTTTACCCACTACAGTCTTAATCACAAGGCAGGAGCTAATGGGAGCACACACTAACCTTTCAGGGTTACAAAACCCATGTTTTCAAAAACACATTTTTTTTAAGTTTTGAGAACCCAGTGAGCACTGCAATGCAAAGCCTGTTTCATTTCTCAATCACAAACAAATATTTTCCTGCTTCATGCCGAAAGATAGTAATGATATAGTAAACTATCAAGCATACAGATCAGAAGCATTTTAATCCTAACAAGGCTCACCAGGAATTTAAAAAATATTACCTCCAAAATACTATAAACGGCTTCTTTTTCAACAGATCAGCAGCTCCACTGGCGAAACTTCATGGCTCATCCATTTTGGAGAGACATCACCTAGAGTACAGCAAAACCCTCCTGCAGGATGAGGTTTGCATAGGCTGCTCTTCTGTTAACACTCATCAATACAAAAACTCCAATTAAGTTATGATCTTCCAAGTTCTCTCTGTTATGATTTGTTCCTCTAAGCCAAAATGAGGAGGTTATGTTCAAATTCATACGTTTCATTTGAATTCTTACATGTTTGGGGCAGCAGCGTGCTATACCTGTCCAGAGAAACCATGAGGTATCTGCCAAAAACACAAACTTATAAAAGTCAAAATTCGCCCTGTCCTCTGCCCTTCGCATGCACGCTCGTCCGCTTTTCCTACCCTTACGCAACAGCTAATGCTGGAACTAGGGCAGAAAACAGGAGGTGTCGAAGCTCAGCTGCTGCCCCTTGATCCAGGGGGCTGGACGTGGCTGGAGAAAGGGAGCCAGGTCTTAGGCTACCCTGAGAGATCCCACACAAACACCTGAACGTGCAAAGTGGAGCCCTGAGGTGCTGCCAGGGATTTCTGAGCCAGTTGTAGCTCATGGCATGTTGCAGGGAGCCTTCCCCTCACAGCTGACCCCTCTCCCCACTACTATCCTCTCTCTGGTGCCCATCACTCTTCCAACCCCAGCTCCCTCACCCAGCAGGGCATGGGCACCTCTCAAGGGCCTCCCTGCCCTCCCCACATGGCCCCACGGTCCCTTCCTCATCTGCCCTCCTTGGGAGCTGCTGCAGCAAGGCTCCCACCTCAGCACTTGAGGACCAGCAAGATGGTGGCCATGAGGCTGGGACCCCCCCCCCAAGAGCCACAGGCTGGCCTGCTGCTGCTCAAGGGGAAGGGGGCATTTCAAGCATTTATTCATGAGAGAATAACTCACAGAGACTTTACAGCTGAGGCAGCAGGGCCCTTATCCCTCTTGCCCTGCAGCCTGGGCACTACAGTCACCCACTACCACCTTGAGTTGTTCATTTGTTTGATTTTTTTCCTCTCCAGTTGTTGGAAATAGACTATTTCCTGACCTCAGGAGACACAGAACAAATCCACATACAGCACAACAACCATAAACAAAATGAAAGAACTGATTTTTTTTTAAGAATATAAAACATTTACCTGTTTCCTTGGCTAATAAGGAAAGGAAGCTCAGGAGACTGAGGAAACTTGAATATGACACTGCTCTGCTCTTTGCTAGGAATACACATTGTAGCTTAAATTAAAAAGATTATGAAACCCAAGGGTTCCCCAGGGCCAAGCAACCAGCAGGGCCCCATTACCACAGCAGCAGTTACACAATACAGACAAATAGCGAGAAGAGCACCACTCTGAACTCTTCAAGTCAGTATCATCAGGTTAATGGGTGCAACGTGTAAAGAAACAGGGACAAGGTGCCTCTGCTTCCCTAGCTACGTAGAGTGCAGGTGATTCTGTTTGGTTTTAAATTGCGCTTAATTAACATATGGCAACAGGCTAGCAGGCCTGTAGTTATTAGTGTGGTTTTGGGGGAACAGTGTCCATGTGCTGCATGCAGGTTGCACAGTTACTTGGTCATTGCCCTTGGTTCCCTCCTGCAGTCTGTGTAGGGCTCCTTCCTGTGCCATTGTAGCCTCTGAGATTCCATTTTCTGTACTGGTTGGTAGCTTCATTTCTCCCCTTTTTTGCAGTTCTTTCCACTAAGTTTTGATGAGTGCATGTGACATTGCTTTGGAAGATCATACAATGTGGTGATTCACATGTTCCTGTTTGGAGCTCAATGTGGGGTAGTTCTATAGCCCTAGCTCACAGAAATATTGCTATTTAAGCATGTGAACTGCTCATGTGAATAGGGGACATCCTGGTTAAGTGAATAATTTTTAATCTATTATAATTTATATTTATTCAGGGTCATATGTTGGCCTCATATGCAATTTCGTTATATTATTCTCTGGGACAGCCTGGGTAGTATAAAATAAGGACAATTTTATGAGAGGAATTGAATTTGTAAACTTTCCATCTTTCAGAGTTTAAACATATTCCAGAACTTAAATAAGCGACAGTTTGAAACCGTTCTGCATTTATTTGAAGTTGCGATAATAGCAACTGACTTGGCGTTGTATTTCAAGTAAGTACTAAATTCTGTATTATTAGCTATCCCCAAAAAAGTCAACCCCATATGATTTACAACTGCAGTTTTGACATGTGATATTTACATACAGAGCCATACACTACAGAGCCATACTTTAAATTTTTATGAAATAAGCCTCATTCTTGTAAAAAATTGAGACACTTTGATTCATTATTATCTTTCAAACTTTAGAACACACAAATGTCTCTAATGCTTGGCATACATTTAGTAGGTCAGCCAAATATGTTTTTATTTATAACAAACACTGTATTTTACAAGTGCTGATTCTGTGATGTAATCATAAAGTTGTGTGTGCATGTGTGCTATTTTTTGGTCCATGCTACAATTATTCATACTAAACATGAATATTCTCTGGCCATGGAAATTAAGATGTTAGTTTAAAAATGCAACTACAAACATTTACTGATCCCAGTCTATATATGCTAAGATATTCCAAAGATCAAATCATCCATCATGTTTTTAAATTACTGATTTATCATACTTTATGATAGGTATTTTCCTTGAAGATAAATGGATCCTCTATGTATGCCTTTTTGTTTTGTCCAGATGTCTTATGACTTTAAAGTCAGGATACAGTAAACAATTTGACAACTTTTTCAACTGATACAGATATGAAATTTCAATGAGCAGTAACTCTATTATTTAATTCACTTGAAATTCAAAATTACAGATAATACTTCACATACCACCAATCTACAGCAAAATTTGGAAGTGTTAGGTTAACTGACAAAATTATGTTTGAGTTTAATGGGAAGAAGGTGTCACTGATAGTTCCATGACTAGGATAATATTATGAAAAGGCATAAATGTGCAAAATATATTTTTCTATTTTATTTTTAATGCAGAATCTTTAATTCACTAATATGTGGTTTATTTTGTATGTTTTAACAGGAAAAGAACAATGTTTCAAAAGATTGTGGATGCAATTGAAAAAATGCAAACAGAAGAAGAGGCAATCAAATATATATCTATTGACCCAACCAAAAAAGAAGTTATCATGTAGGTGGTTAATATTTTACATTCAGTCAGTTATCAAGGATTGGGTTTTAAAAGCATTTGGTCACTTAGACGTATAAATTAAGAATTGGTGTTACTGTTAAAAAAAAAAAAAAAGCAATGAGCATAATCTTGATTTTGAATTGGAATTCGATGGCCACAGGTATCTAAAAATCTGCACTCAAATGAATCTTAGGCATTTAAATTCCTTAAAAAATCTGGATCCTCTTTTTTATTTTCTTCCATGATCCTAACTGTGTCTGTTCTATTTTTACAAAGGGCTATGATGATGACTGGATGCGACTTGTCTGCTATAACCAAGCCCTGGGAAGTGCAAAGCAAGGTAGGTACTTTTCGAACATACAGTACTGCATATTAGATCTGTTTTATTGCCTATTTAGTGCATGATCATTAAAAAACACATATTATCATTTGCTAGATATTTACATGTTTGAACCCAACTATATTTTCAGAAAACAACCTCTATTTTTCTGTCAGTGTTAAGTGTAAGTGCTCCAGAGAACTTCTTCCCAGCCAAACTCCACATTTGTTCTACCTTTCATTTTCAAGAGGTAGAGATTAGCTATTTGCTGGAAAAGGCCTTGCAGTACACTATAGAGTATCAGCAAGTGTGGAAATACTGAATGACCATCTCTGCAGGAATTAAAGACTGGAATTCTAACGCTTTTTGACCAGTACTCCAAATTTTTGGAGAAATATTTAAGCTGCTTAGAAAGAGGCTAGCAATAAATATGTTCTCTTCTGTGGGAGGGAAGTTGGTAACAATAGTCAAACTGTAATTTGAGGATTTATTGATCTAAATATTAACACATCAGCTCTGTTAATAAACATTTTCTGGAAAAACTATTTTTAAAAAAATTCTTTTTTAATTGAATACTTTCTGTATAATTTCCTTTGAATTACACTCAGAAATTGCGATTTTCAGGTTGCCCTTATGGTTGCAAATGAATTCTGGGAGCAAGGTGACCTAGAACGAACTGTGCTACAACAACAACCAATTGTAAGTATTAAACAGTTCATCTATGTTAAGCAATATTACCTGATATTAAAGATATTGACCATACTGGTTCAGTGTGATTTCTATATCGTTATACCAAAAAACATGACACTTACATTAAATTGCTACTATTCTGTTCTAGCCTATGATGGACAGAAACAAAGGTGATGAACTACCTAAGCTCCAAGTTGGTTTCATAGATTTTGTATGTACATTTGTGTACAAGGTAAGAATAAATGTTTTGGCTTTTCCTTTGCAGTAAGTTTGATGGCACAATGAATGACAAACTGTTGCAGTTAAAAAAATCAACAGGACTCTTGGGTGTGGGTTAAATGACTATCACAGGAGACATAATTTTTAATCTCTTGTTATTCTTGCTCTAAAGTTGCTCAGACACAATAAAGCAAAGATCACAATGCAACTTGAGGGCGCACTTTACTTACTATCTTGAATGACTGAGTTCAAAAGCCCAATATAATTCTTCACAGTTCCATTAAATATGAAGGATGCAACACATAGATGCTTACAGCAGTCAGGTGAACCTAAAGCCAGCTGAAAGATTATGAAACTTGTAGTTATTCTGGAAGTAGAGATATTCCATACCTTCTGAAAAGTATGAGAATGGTGACATTATTAATGTCTATCTAGCGCTTTTACTGTTTGCCCAAAATATCATGTAACAAAGTGACATGTAACATCTTCAGGAGCATTCTGAGTTGCTTGGAATACAATGTTGCTATAAAGATACTAGATTTTATTATCATAGTATGTATATAATTGCTATAATTATTAGCATGTAGTATATAATTGTATATAATTATTGCTATTATTATATAATCATATGATAAAATATAATGTGGAATAGTGATGATGATTGCATTACATGAACCAGACTATCAAATAGGGTGGATTAGAGAAGATATTAAAACATATATTATTATTAGGCAGCTCTCTTGGAATTAATAAAGTGGATGCACAATATGGCATTATTATTTCAACATCGAATTTTGTCACTACTGGCAAAAAAAACAGATGATATTTTGGAATGTATACCAGCAGCTACTAGCACTTTTTTGGGGGAGTAGCTTTTTCTCTTTCAAAGCAAATCCATTACCAGAGACAAAACAAGTGCTTGCAAAAAAGGTAAAATCAAGTAAAATTGATTCACCTGGTACACATACAGAAAGGTTTTATAAAAAAGAAAGCAGGCAATGTTTTCTTTGCATCGTAGCAGTATTTCAACAAATTCAGAATTTACAAATCATACGTCTTTACAAATTTCTAATTTACTAATTTAAATCGTTTTATAGGAATTCTCAAGGTTTCACAAGGAGATTACACCTATGTTCGATGGTCTTCAAAACAACAGGGTTGAATGGAAATCACGAGCTGATGAATATGAGGAGAAGATGAAAGTTATTGAGGAACAAAAGAAAAAAGAAGAAGAAGCAGCTGCCAAAAAAGGTTAAGTAACTTTTACAGTTTTCATATACAAAGAGCAGTGAATGTACTTCCATCTGAAGTCCAGACGTTGTGTAGTATTCTATTAAACTTTACATGAATCCCATGTGAGTTCTGAATTAGCCAGATTAACTCTTTCTTTGGAAAAGGAGTTACAGATTATAGAAAACCAGTATACACTGACCTCATTTTCTAAACTACAGTATTATAGAAAATATGATCGTAAGAAAGGTGAAGGCTATTTAAAATTTCTGTTTTCTTAAGACTAAAGACTAAATATAATACAACACCTATGTGTAAGTGCTACAGCCATCTGAAAATGCACAAAAAATGCAGCTATTCTATGCAGCATCAGCATCAAATATATTAAAATGCTTTGCTTTGGATGAAAATGAAAGCTATCAAAAAAAAAAAAGAGAATGGATAGTTTGCCTTTGGAAAACAGAAAGCAATACATATCCCACTCCCCTTCCAAATTCAAGTAAAATTTCCCTGTCATGAGTTTTTTGGCTAAAATATTCTCTCACAGAGTGCAAATTTAACTCTAATGTCCCTAATAGCCTAAATTCTAAAATTAAAAGTATGTTTTTGCATGTCGTGACCTAGAAAAAAAAAAAATCTGATTCAGGAGACACCGAGAACCTATCACTCAAGTGTAAGAGTGAAAGAAGTCCGTTACTTTGAATCTGTCATGCATTTGGAATATCAGATCAATGGGGCTGTCAACTACTTGAAATCCTGAAAATGTTCAGAGATTAAAACAAAAATATGCATGATTTCTACAGCATGATTTATATAGTTTGAAGAAGTTAGTTGGTGTGTTTCACATCTTCAAAATATAAAACAGTACTGAATGATTTATTTATTAATCAATGTCTGTGGAAAATAGGTGAGTATTCTTCACATATCACACAGAAGCGAGGTGACTCAAGGCCATGCATCAATTTACTGTCAGATTTTGGAGCAGATCTGTTCTTTGTTCCTAAAAAAGTACTATTAGGCCTAAATTTGAAACCAAAATTGTTGCAAAGTAGTTAAACTCATTAAAGTGATTTATTCAAAGCAGATTTTTGGAAAAGAAATCTAATAAAATGGATCAAATATTAATGTCAAAATAAATCTTTAAAATTTTAAAACACGTTATACCTTCTTGTGCCAAATTCAGCATTATCCTCCAAAGAGTCAGCATTCCATATATTCTTACAAGACTACAGAGATCATTTGCAATAAAATTATAAGTTTGGCTTGCTTGCACCCTTATAACACTCATAATTTCACAAGAATTATGCCCACTCCATTTTCTCCCAATTTTATTTTTTAGAAATACTTTAATTAATCATACCATCATATTAAAGATCAATTTACTGCTAAGAACAAGGTCATGGGGAATATGATAAAGTGCTCTTTCTTTGCTCTGGACTGTAAGCATCTGAACTGCGCAGAAACACCAGGTGGGAGAGAAAAGAAAAAAAATAAATAAAACAGAACCTACTCACAATTCTCCTTAAACATCTGCTTTCTTGGCAAAGAGTATAGTTACTTAAATTTTCTCCTATGCTGTTATGTGTATGGCTCTTCTTAACTAAAAAGTAAATATTTAGAGTTATGCACTTGCACTCCCACTTGAAATTACGTCCATCTTAAATCATCGGTATTTATTTTGGAATCACTTCCTAAGTCACAGTAACTTAGGAAAAGAAGTTGTCTTCCCACAAGAAACATTACCCAGGCAATCATGGGCTGAATGGCATAGAAATCAAAAGATTTGGCCTTCTTGGGATATCACAAATGATATTACAAAAGTCTAAGTGAATGATTTTGCATCTTTTTAAATGCACTCTGAAATGAGGCAATGCACATTTGTGAAGAGCAGATCTGATACTGTCAAATCAAGGCCATGTAAATATATGGGCTTGTTAAGTGACTTATTACCAACAACTAGTAAAATACATGATGAACCATGCTCACTTCTCTAGAGCACTCTGACCTGGCTATTCTTAGCCATTCAGGAGAGAGAAAACAAAATAAACATATTTGCTGAACCACTACAGTGGAAAGTTCAGAACAGAAATTAAAACAGTACAGCATTATACTAAGAAAATAATATATATTTAATAGCAGTGTTGATTATATCCACAAATTACAAAGGGTAGGACACTGATCATGTGACATGTTTCAATGCAGGTGGAAAGGGTCGAAAATGACCTAATAACATGGTGATCCACAGCTTTCAAATGTAAGTTTTAATTCTAATACTGGTATCTTACCCTAAATGAACCTGGAAACGCAATTTATTATATTGAAAGATCTGAACTATGACCAATAAAAATCTGTGGAATCATTTGAGAGAGACATTAACAGAATCAGTAGCTACAGAAAATCTTAAAAAATCTCTCTCTTGATTGGTAATTACAAAGGGATTCATGCAGGGTTGGTTAAAATTTTTACAATTAGGTCAAATTCAAGTTTTTGTTTTCTTCTCCTTCAAAACTAATTTCAAATATTCTATAGATACAATAGGATATTTTCTTTGCATTGCTTGCATTCCTCAGTTTTGTATGTGTGGACAGAGTCAAATACATATAATTACTGAAACTTTCCAGTAAGAGTGGTTCAGTGTGTGTTTGGTCCTTTCATAAATGTTCATATCAATTGCTCCAAGATGTGTATATCTATATATTTATATTATGCTTTGTTTTTCATATTCTGATTTCCCAGATAACATTCTGTTTCCCAGAAAACATTCAATTTTCAGATGGTCAAACACATGTGTAACATCCATATCACAAAAGCAGTATCTGTTTAAAGAAAAAAAGAAAAAAAAAGCAACTGAAATGAACAAAACGAACAGAAATACTCACATTCCTTTCCTTCTGTGTTTTTAGCTGAAAATGCAGCTGGAGGTGGCGGAGGTGGCGATAATGGAAAATCCAAAACATGTATAATATTGTAATACATAGTCTCAAAGACACTGTTTCTGCTACAGAAAAGACTTCTAGAAAGTACTTCAATGAGCCCTGTGTATTTCTGCTTGGCATAGAATAGTACAGATCCATCTCTTAACAATCCTCTTAAACATCTGCCATTTGTTGGAAATCATTTTTGATGGAGTAAAAAATCAGTAACAATTAAAAACTGAAAAATCAAAAGACAGAAGAAAAAATCATTAAGGGTGCAAAATAAGTTAACTATGAAGTCATGATATTATTTCATGTCACAATTTGTATACAATATACATTGTACGCAATGCATGCATTAAAATATGTAACATCTACACACTGTTCTGAAAAATATAAATAATTTTGATAGATCTTATATGAAAATACTGAATGAAACCTAACATGCATAATTCAATCAAAAATTGTGCATTTCATAACTTGTGTATTTAGATTTTTATATTATGTGTATTTCCATAATCTGGGATTGTGTCCTTTTCCTTCATATTCAATACTAGATACAAATTCTAGAGGTAAATATTTATTTCTGTTTAGGAGAGCTAAAAATTATTTCCTGACTAATAGGTGTAAAGAAGCAGGTACACAGTCTTTTTCCAAAACTACCAAGGATAAATCTGTAAATTGTACCTGTAGCTTGGAGAAACCATTCCTTTGTTCATGTTAAAGTGGCTCTGCCCATGCTTTGCAATTTTATTTTTGAAAATCTAAAAAGGCAGACCATCAACTTCATTTACATGAGAATTCACTGCTACCTACATCAGGCTGTACATTCAATATCATTTTAAAAGGCTCATGTACCCGTGATACACCGTTTTAAAACTCAATAAAGGGACAGAACTTTTCAATATTTGAAAACCAATGAATAGCATCAGTGTAATTTGCGGAAGGAGGAAATAGGAGAAGGCCTTGTCAGAATTCACGTATCTCCCCTTCTAACACTGTGTGCTAATTACATCCTTGTAAGGAATACCAGTGTTGCTACAAAAATGTTCTGTCCTTGAAGAATGAAACAGAGCACCCTGTACCTGCTACTCAGGTCCCATGGAGCTTGCTCTTCCTACAGGTAAAGAAGGAAAAAGCAGCTACTATATTATGCATGTACATAGGCATTCAGTGGATCAAGTCCTGTCTTCTCCAAAAAGGAGAGGTTGTCAATGCAAAAGAGCAGAACTTTCTTTTTTTCCCCTCAGAAGGGATCTTTCTCAGCATCCATAGAGATGCAAATCTGCCCTCCTGCACACCCTTCTAAGAAAGCTCAACACACTTACTGTACAGCTGTCATCAGAAATTAAGAAAAATACACAAAATGTTTCCCATATATACTTACAAATAGGCCAAATCTTTTACATAAACTTAACAATGCCATAAAACTGGGTATCGGGAATTATTTTCTGTACTGGTAGATACAAAAGAAATCTATTTCAAGGTTGTTTCATTATGTAATTTCATTCAAACTATATTAAGTGTTGTATTCAATTTGTACACTGTTCCATTTTATAACTGTGTTTTGAAGACCCATCGGAGGGGTCTTTGAGGACTTAGTTATTCAGAACACATGCCTAATGTACAATACTTGCACCAACAAATATAGCAGCACATTCTAGAAAAGCCCCTTCGGGCAAGTTGCATACATGTAAGCAGATTGCTGCAGATTGGATTTGGCTCTCAATCATGCTTGCAAGATGACAGAGAATTAACCTTTAAATCCATCTTCTTACCTAAAGAAGCCTTCATACAAGCCTACATTTATTTGTTACTCAAGGACACCCTAAATGCGTCCTTGTAATGTCAGCTATTATGTAAGTACAAACTGTTAAAAATGTAATTAATATTACTTGTAAATAGAGTTCTCTATTGATATTCACCTGAGTGCATGCAATAAGTTCATAAATACACTGCAGCCACCTCTACTGTTACATTTTCCACATCAAATATTTATTATGATATCTACAGCGGGAAAATATTTATCAAAAATACATTTTTTACAGCATTAACTTTCATCAGATTGTCTAATGTGAACATTTAATTCAAAACAAGTTTGTTCTTTATAACCAAAATAATTTCCATCTGACAAAGAAAATGGTCTCTGTAACTATTAATGTGCAGACTGTTTCTTTGGAAAAATGCAATAAAGAATGTTTCAAGTTGTGTTGCAGTTTGAATAGGAAAATGAACCCACTAAGATTCTTAAGCAACAAATATTTTTTACTTGTATATTTAGGATTACACCTTGAGGAAGGATTAACATTCATTCAATGTTAGGGAGATCAGAAACCATAGATAACCAACCACATGTACATCTCCAGTAGGAAGCAATGTATTTTATTTATTAAAACAAAAATTCACACCACCATCTGGATTTTAACTAATGAGGGGAATTATTAGTCATATGAAAAAATTCATAATGAACTACATATTACTAAGGAGTAGGAAAGTCATTTCAGATATATGTAATTCAAGCAAAACACACACTTGATAAAAACTGAGCTTCCCTAAAAGCATTCAGAAATATTTACACAGACCAATATATGAATATTAAAGACCACACGACTAATACATTTAAATCTGTTATCTCCTGATTAATAAATAAAAGTATTAATATATTAAAGTCTATGGCTACAAAGTGAAAATGGACTTTTTGAAAACTTCCCTTAAGCAAATCAGCAAATCTAAGGTTTGGGATAAAAAAAAAAAAAAGCACCCGAATTCTCTGATGTGCTGTCAATAATCTACATTCTTGTTTACATCCTTCCTCTTTTTAAGTTCAGGTGAAATGTATGTTTTGCACTCAGAAAACTTCTCATATTTCATGACTATACAGGCTACCACAAAAAAAAAAAAAAGAGTTTTAGGGCTGAATCCTTCTAAAAAGACACTTTACCCAGATGGTCCGATGGTATGACTTTAGAAATGGTACACTGGCAGGAAAAAAAAAGGCTCTGGTCCCTAAATACAGTTGGATTTCCAGGCACTCATCTTGATGCTCTAAAAAGAAAATCAGCCTACGTCCATTTCAAGCTTCAGAGAAACAAGTCTTGAAAGTATTCATCAAATTCCTCCTCCCTGTAAAAAAATAAAAATAGGTCAAAGAATGATCTGCTTTTGATCTATTAGGAGCTAATTTTTGTGTAAAAAAGATTTAGCAGATTTCCAGTTACAATATGTACCCAGTATATACCATTTTCATTTCTTCACTATGTTCCCATACCCTTCACATGCTCCCTTCTGTGCAACAGCAGTATGTTGACGGTTAGAATTTACTTCGAAGATAGCTGACCTATTTTGGCAGCAGTATGTTAGCTGCTTTACACATAATTTTATATATCAGAATATTCATCAAAACATTTAGGAAAAGTTTCTACTTTTGGAGTTCCGAATGGTCATAATTAGTCAAACTTTTACTAGATACAAATTTACTGGCAGACCAAACTAACCGTGATTTTTCCTCTGGCTCTTGTAGAGGACCTTTCCAAAAGTCTGCATCTGAAGGGCCATCTTGCACATCGCTGCTATCCGAATCTGTTGAAAAATAAAGCGTCTAAGAATGTACCAAACAGGAACATGTAATTGTAACTACAAGACTCAACACCAACTCTTTATATGAAGAGAAAATATCTGCTAAATGTTATTCAATACAGCATCAAAATGACTCATAGATATCATTAAATTGATACCTAGTCCAAACACAATAGCAGTCAGGACAAAATTCTGATGCTTAAAACAAGAACTTTAGGAACAAGCACTTTGTTCCTAAAATTAAAATCCAATATCCAGAATCACAATCCAATTTCACATACTGATATTAAATGAATCAATTATTTTACTTACATTTGAATTTTTTAATCAATTGTAATTTATCGGTGAAATTATCAAAAACATGCTTTTCTGAATAACTGTTCAGTATAAGTACATTGAGGTAGTAAAAGAGCAAAACTTTCCCTTTATTAGAAATAAGACCTGACTCAAGGAAAAAAAACTTCCTATAGAACTTTCCTGTCAAGTCTTTAGCTATGCTTTCAGTCATAAGACTGCACCTGCTGAGAAGTAATAGCACTTTCCAAAAAAAATGGTATTTCACAGAAAAGCAATCAGTAGAAACACTCCGGCCCTTCTAGATGTTCTGCAGTAAGAATGAGGAAGTTCAAGAGATGGGGCTACTTTCTCAGAAGATACAATGGGTCTGGATTTACTGCAACATAAGGATAACTACTGTCAAGCAATCACTAAAATGCTGATCATTTCAATCAGATAGGTATCTGAGGTAGTATAGGTACAGATGTTGGTTAGAGTGCAAGGCATATTTGGCATGGTGTCTTCCCCATGCTCTCCCATTAATATTGCAGGTGGCATATGTATTAGTCTTTTTCCACAAAAGGAATAATTATTAATATATAAGAAAACACGCACATCTTGACCCATGCAACTATTAACAATGTACCTGCTTTTGCACCCAACTACTTCTTCCTGAACAAACTAGCCCCTTATTTTTTTCATTTCCTCCATACTATATCCTCCTATTTTCCTTCCTTCCCTAAGGTTGAAGGATTTCCTTCTGAAGATTCCTAACAGTTTATCTCCAAGAATTTAGAAGTATCTATTTGTGGACTCTTCATATCTCTGCTTATTTTCACATCACCTTCCTGGCATCTTATCAAATATTAAAATTGCCAGTGAATAAAACTAGAACCAATGACACCTGAATATGATACAACTTACTACAAAAATATAACAACACAAAAAAAATTCACATACTTTACCTTTATCAGAATTATCTGAATCCTCTGAAGAAACTTGATCTAGAAAGAAACAACATTTAAAAAGTTAAGACGCCTATTCATTTTTGTAAAATGTTTACAAGGAGAGATTTATCACATTACACAAAACCATATGCATATACATACATAGACACACACGCACACATCTTTAATTTACAGAAAAAAAGCAAACACTGAAGGAAAAACATTATTTTTGGCATGACTTCAAAGATCATCATTTGAGCACAGTTTATCCCAAGATCTGTGTGTAAAAAGCTTATCTTACATTAGCAGAAAGCTTTCAACCCTATACCCTCAATGAATCAGATACTTTAGATCTGATCTTTAGATCTTTAGTTCTAACTTTTTCTGGCATGCAATGTCCCAATTCTTAGACTGCTTTTCCTTCCAATTCTTTTTTTTTTTAAAAAGGATTTCCAATTCTGTAACCTGTAAAAAAAAAGGTTTTTTTTTTAATTTACCTTTATTGAAAACCTAAAAGTTGTATGTAATTAAGAAATTTTCCATTTTTGCCAAGGTTACACTGCCAGAGTTACACAGTCCAGATACATTTCCATATCTACAACTACTGTAGAAATAGCAACCAACATATTTCTTTGAATATTTTCAAAATTTAAAATTTACATTTACCTGTATGGGTCTTTTTCTTTGACTTCCTTTTTTTTGAAGAAGATAACTTTCTCTTCTTAATTTTTGGTTTATCAGCGTTCAATATAGCTGTGTCTCCTTTCTTCTTTGATTTGACTTCTTTCCTCCTTCAAAAAATGAATATTAATTTTCTTCATTATAGGTAGTTCTAAATCAACAGTAAACCTTACGTATCTAATACAATCAAACACTTGTCATTTTTTTCTGAAAATTATTACTAGTTAAAACATACAGTCAAAAATGAAAGTGTTTTAGAAATATTCCAGCCATATAGTCAAAGACAAAGGTCAGGAAATGCTAAATCTGCTAAAATGATACTGAATTAGCAACCCAAGATTAAAAAAAAAAATAAAATAAAAAAGCTATGTGCACACTTTATACTGATATATATAGGAAACTGTTTTTTTAATGTAGCAAATTTTGTGCACATGTAATTAAAAAAATCAGTTTTCAGATAAAAATTCAGTACCATTTCTTTTCTACTTTCTAACCTAATAAAACCTGCAGTACAAGAATCTTAAAGCCTAAAAATCTACAGCAGATCAGCAATGTACGTGTTTTATTTTTGGTATGATTTATGTGGGCTTACTATGTAACAACAGACTTTTTTTTTCCCCAGTTTGTTTGATCAAAATCAGACAGAAAAAAAGATTCAAAGGAAGTATTACTGATGAATAGAAAATATGTTTGACCATTCTTACTCAGAATCAAAGCACTTCTAAAATGCTGATTCCATAAAGAATGCAAATTAAACTAATCTCAATTACTGTTTTCGCCTTAATTCTGAATATACATTTACACGGGACTTTAGTGAAATCTAATTACAACTATCTTTTAAAATAGATTAATTAACTTTCTTGAACACAACCACACAGAAACAGAAATAGGAGCTTTCCAAATGACAGGTTTCCCTGTCCTGGATTTCTCAGATACAAGGACACAAACTACAAGTAGCTAAAATAGCATCAAGATCCAGAAAAGCATATAAAACTGCATAGCAATAGTTTGATAGTAAGATTAGTGTCAATTAAATAAACAAATCAAATCTAATGTATACAAATTTCAGGTTCAAAATCCACTATTTTAGTTTTCCTTATTAACAAGTGATTTTAAAAAACAAACACTCAAATTCAAAGTTTCAAAGAACTACTATACGAGTCATAGTGCTAAGGGAGAAAAAGAAAAATATTTCCAGCTCTTAAACACAGCAATAGGGAAAATGGAAAAATACAGTATTTTGCATATGCTTCCAGAAAACAAAAATAATCATTGGGTTAAAACCAAGATAAGGAAACTCTGAGGGAAAGATTTTCATAGTTCTTCTGGTTTTATGAACTTTCCTTAGTGCAAGAATACTAGCATAAAAGTATGTGAAATCAGTGACTTCACAAGAACTCCAGGACAGACATTTTCTAACCATCTGTTTTTTTTCTCCACTTATTTTTCAGTTGAACATAATTAGCACTTATCTATAATTCAGTTCCCATATTTTCAAAATATTGCATTACCGGTGATGAAAGTTAAGTTTTTTTGAACATTCTGGACACAGTCCTGAAAAAGAACAAGAACATTACAGCTGTGTATTTGATAAGCGTAACTAACAAAACCTGTTAATAAATTTATAAAACTAGATATAACACTTTCTTCAAATTTCATTAACTTTTGCTCTGACACAATTTACATTATGATTGCAGCCAGGTATAAAAAAAAATAATACATTAAAGACTTCAGTACAAACCTAAAGTTTAGAAAATTTGGATGAAGATCACAGCTTTAGCTCTGGCAACCCTTCATTAAAAAAACTATCAGTGTTTATCAGGCACATAGCACATTTTTATGGATCTCTGTGAACAGATCAGATTGTTCTACAATTGCGCTGAAGACCTTGGGTCCTTTAAAGTTTCTACAAAGAACAAATGCTGCCAAACAGAGTGCCTTTTTGTGGACTAAAGGAAAAACACTATTAGTTTCTTTTACACAAAACATATATACATTGTGACATGATTAAATGAACATATCAACAAATAAGGAGATCTTAAGAGATAAGAACAGAAAAGGAATTAATTTAAGTTAGAATTTTTGGAAGAAAATGTAACTACTTAAAAAACTAATTGAGCTGAAAGAGTAAAAACCAGTTGTCTGTTTGAAAGCCCTAAGAACTCCTAAGCTTGTTAGGCAACGGCAGTGATGAAACTCACCATGCAATTCAATATTGCCCATTAAAAACAAACAAGCTTATTTAAATAATAGCTTATAACCAGGTATTCTAATTGCCTTACATAAAAATGATACAACATGACATGCTCAACCTTTAACAGTTTTGTCATATGTAATGATAGCAGCCATTCTCACCAAACCTTCACACTACCTCTAATTAATGTAACAAAATGATCTCCTACACAGAAGCTTATTTTCCACCATGCAGATATTAGGATCATTATCAACAAGTCCCTCACTATACCTTTTAATGTGTAAGGTATATATCTTTGTTTAAGCTTACAAATTCTTGAATGCCAGCATAAGAAGGGCTGACTTACTCAATTTCACAAGAGCATTCCTCTTTTCACCATGCTCGACGTAACCAAAATTCACCTCCCAGCTCTTCAGGCCTTCTTTCTCATCACAGTGCTTACTTCCACAAGAAAATTGACCTTTAAAGAGGTCAAAAAAAGCAAACCAAGGTTCAATGATTAACATGCATAGGTTTGGGGTTGTTATTTCCAGTTTTGCTCAGTTTTCGTGTTTTTGATTTCCATCTTTCAAAGAAAAAGGCTTTAGAGCTAAATAAATACGTAGATAAAGGAACAAGTATGAGCTATAAACTGTCATACTGTCTAATATTTAATATTAGCAAAGAAAGAATCTAACTTGAACTCTATTTTACATTTTCCTAAGAGATGGAAGATATTCAGAAAAAAAAATGTAATACTTAACTTTGGAAAAAAATGTAGTTAATAATCAAACAAAATTGATGTTATTAGGGTATTTTCTATATCCTAAATCATCACCTGCTTAGCAGAAGGTGATGAATCAGAACGTACTATTCAGACATACATCTTTAACAAGATCAAACTATTCAAAATATATATACAAAATTAGGATGTCCATATTCTGATTACAAGTCTACCTCAACTACTGGACAAGCAATTTGTATTCTAATGACTTTCCAGAAGCATTTTGTTTTTTTCTAGGAAAGGAGAAACAATTTAAGAAAAAAAAAAGGCAAATCTATGAGAAAATATGCAGCAGCTTCAATTAAATATTGAGGTATAAAATGCAGCTTTATATTAAACACAATATTAGTTTTAAAACAATTTACACATAATGTACATTGTTTACTCAGCTGTGTCCCCACTATCACAGTTAATAAAAACATATATTTCCTCTGCAGAGGGCTACTATGTATGTAAGGCTGGTGGAAAGGCTCTGCATTAATAGGCTCACAAGCAGGACTGTTTGTGAAAGATTAACCTCAGAACATTGTGTTTAAGCTGCTAACCAGTGGATTGACAGTGTCCTCAGATACTTCAGTTCTGCAGTGAAAAAAGAACTTGCAGTACTAACACCAGAACCAAATAAAAAAAAATGAAATGAGTATGTATTAAATTTGGTAACCCTACATAAGATAAAACGTTATCAGGAATCATTTGTATCAGTGATAAAGAGGAAAACCTATAAAGAGAAATCTATCCCCATATAAGCTTCTGGGAAGGTAACTATTTAATGTCACGTCTTCTGAAAAAATCCCGAAACAAATTGAGAAAAAGACTCACAGAGAAAAAAAAGATATAGCAAATTAATTTATTATTAGCTACTTTTTTAGAGAACCACTTGTGGATATTTTGTTTTTTGCATGGGATATTTCACCATTGGCCTCTGAGAATGGATGAGCTGACAAGAATGAAGTTGGAAGAGTATCTTCAGACTGCTAAGTCATGCAATGAACTGTGGAGTAAACTAGGGCTTAGACTATGTACATCACCATAACTCTGTCCCCTTATACACCTGCTCATATTTCTAAATTACTTACTCACAGTTCTAAACATTTGACTTTTTCTATCAACAGTGCATTACTCCATACTGTATCTTAAATAGCTTAAAGCTTTCCATTTAAAGGATTTATTTTCAGGGTAGCTAACTCATGTACCTACTATTCACTGATTTAGAAACGGATTCTACATTAACTTAAGGTTACAACCACTTTGTAGAACCTTTTATGGAAATTGGACACATACATGACACTATTAATTGTCATTAAGATTATACTTTATATGTAATAACATATAGTAGAGATCTTCAATATGACCTTCTTTCACAGCAGTTAGGAAAAAAGATTGGAGTGAGAAAGAAGAGAATAAAAAAAAATCTGACATTTAGAACTTTCAATTTGATAAGTTTCCTTTCATTCAATCTAATGCTCCTCCTCCCTCACCACCTAGCAAAAACATGAAAAACGAACTAACTTAATGTCAGTAACTCACCCCTTCTCCTTCCTCCTTAACATGCCAGCAAATGATAAAACAGCTGGTTCTCACCTCTGTTGTTTTCACCACTTAAATTTTAAGGCACACACTACGTTAATGCACTCCTTTTTAAAACATGAATTATCAAAGACTAATAGCCCATCATGGTTATTTTACTATAGTTTACTATGAACAGTTTATGTTACTGAGTTATAGTTGCAAAAAAGAAAAAAGTGCTAAAGACTCCGTTTTTTGTAAATGTTTTCCTAAAACTTCAAAGTGCTTTTGTAAACACCCAAGACAACACCAGATAGCACTGAATTCTTGCGCCCCTTAGTGGTCAATGGTGCGATTTCTAGCTCTAAAACCAGCATTAAACTGGCCATCCAAATGCTGTCCATTACATGCCTATGGCACCTAATTCTGCGCTTTCTCCCATGTTTTAAATACGGACTAGCACATAGTCCAAGTATAATACAGTTTCAAATTCCTCCCTAATAATTATTCATAAATTATTAATTTCTCATTTTATTTATCATTTTGAAGTGTTGGATAAAGCACATAACAATGTTAAAGTTAGGTATCTGCTAAAATAATTCCTAGTGCTGAAAGCAACATGACTGCAAAATAACTGCCACCTTAGGTGGCTTAGATAGAATTTTTAGATCTTTTAAAAATCATTAATGTTCACACTTCTTCCCATGAAACGTGATCAAAAATTATATTAAAAAAACAAGTATTATATTGCTAAGTTTTTGCAATATGTTATAATACAGAGAGCTATTGCCAGAACTATACTGATCCACACTATCACTCCATTCAATTTTCTTGTATGTGCACTCATGACTTCTGAAAAAAGGGCATGGATACGAATACTTCACTTACAACGATAGCAATATATTCATATAACTTTCTTGCCTTGAGAAAGTCCATACCCCTAGGCCAATGGAACCCCAATAAAAGACTTGTAAGAATTTGCATGCAGAAAAAGTCAGAATGAGCTACTGCATTAGTAACAGGTTTAGGGCGCATGACCAGCATTTTCATTGAAACTTTCAAAAATGCCTGAAATGGACATCACATGTGGAACTTCAATTAAAAAGTCAGAAATTTGCAAAACAACATGGGAGACACTGTTAAGAAAATGATCTTCTGAGAAAAAAGTATTTGACATGAAAAAAGAAAACAAAATAATAAGGTAATGGAGAACTACTGAACGGAAGCACCCAAAAGGCACATCCATGAAATTCTACATTATCAAATGCAGACTGGTGGTGTTCACTACAAATTGCAGATTGTGAAAATCAACCATGTGTTCTCTCTTTATTTCTTTTCATTTTTATTTAAACAGGTCATCACATACACTAAAGATACATGTCATAAAACAGAGCTAAGACTTAGGTCACTTTACTACCCAATATTTGATATACTTATCAGTATCGAGAATTGTTTGACACTGTCAAACAATTATTATGCCAAAAAGCAGCAAGAAACACAATAGTCAAGGAGAAATGTAATATAAAATGGACAGCATTACCTTTTCCTGAAACTACTTCTTCCTCATGTCGCCACCTAAATCCAAACTGATTAAAAAAAAAATAGTTGTAAGTAGTCCATTTAAATAGCAATTTTAGTCAACTGCAGTCCTGCACATATGTTTATCTATTCCGTTCCAATTAGTAAAATTTAATTCCTTTCTCCATTAATTAGATGTACCTCCATTTCTGGCTGTCAGAGGGATTCCAATTTACTCCTGCTATTTAAATTCCAGGAGATACTGATCAGAACCCAATTAAAAACATTGTGAAAGCTTTCAGAGGAGGCAAAAAAAAAGGAAACATTTGGAATACTGAAAAGGCAAATAAATACATGCAAATTTCTGCACCCCACATTTCACAGCCTAAAGTCTAAAAAGATATACAACCCCATCAGTTAAGTTATGTTTCTCTTTACAGTGCCTAGAAACCCCACATAAAGATAACCCATCTATGATTTTTGTTTTGCAATGGTGTCTGCTTCATCCTCCCAAATGGCAAGTGAAGCCTTATGGAAAGATCAAAGAGTGAATGAACAAGAACTGCCTTGGAGGAATAATTTTCATTAGCAACTAGAAAGAGAGAATAGAAGTTAGTGGCATACAATTTGTTCAAAAGAAGTATCTTGTAATTTCATTTAAAATTCAGAAATACTGCATGACAACATAAAATGAAATTTCGCTCTGCGAACAAAGCACATATAATTCAAAATTTCATGTTAAAAGAAGGAAAGGAAATGTTCTGAGGTCACAGAAGCACATCCCTTGGAAAAAACATCCCTTTGTTTCTATTTGGGCACTTGAAGACTGAACATACAGGAAAGTGTGTTTTATATGTTCAGCATCATAAATTCTATAATATATAGGATTTATCCGAATTGCTCTTAATCTAATTTTAAACAAACTGCTAAAGCAGGAACAGCTTGTGCTTAGCCTACTCTACAATCTGTAGCGTGGTCTAAAAAAGTACCATTTTAACCACTCATGTCAAAGAAAAATTTAAACAATTGTAAAAAGCAAGAACTGTGCTTAACAGCTCACTGGAAACAGAATGTAAAATATACTCATAAAGGTAGGATTCATAAAGGAATCCAGATCTCACAGCTTTTCAATTTGTTTTTGTAAATAACCCTCCACAAATTTAACAATCCTCCACAATTATTTAACACAGCTTTGAAGTACATTTCCCAATTATAAATAGTAGCAAGGCAGTCCAGTTACAATTACAATTCTGTTGTGGCTCTACTTGCATCATAAAAAATTCCCAAGAAAATTCATCATGCATAGCAACTGAATAAAAATTGTGTCATTGGGTACATGCAAACAGACCTCACTGACCTCCCTAAGTCTACTTCAAAACAAAGCAAAACAAAACAGGGATACAAGCTTTGATTTGAACTCTTACTTTGTACTTTTTAAATTTAGAATGGTATGGGCTTGCAAAGCTGCTGTAGAAATGTCTGGTAACAATTTCTGAATGTATTTTATTACTTCATAACATCCTGTTCCAAGTGATTTGTGCAGCAAATTTAACAGACATGTCATCTCTTCCTAGCAGTTCAATTGAAGTATGGAAGCAGAGTTCTAGTCTCAACTGCTCTCTCGTACTGAGCTGTACATTATTACTCTTACTGGATACACAGCAATAATACAATACTGCTGGCCATTTTTTGCTTACCATATTCCCTAAGTACAGCTAGTCTGGAAATCAAGAACAAAGGCAACATAAAAGAGGGAGCCAGACCACCTGTGGTGTTCTTTACAACAAGCCCAGTTTACAAACTGGACAAAAGCTATCCTTGTGTGCAATTCCCTTTTGACAATTATTCTTCCAATTATTGCAGTGAAAAGTGACACAGAGTGCCAAAGACTAAGAAGAAGACACAAAAGAAATCCTCTAAGCTGCAACACCAAGAACTGCAGCTGAAAATACATAGGAAAATAAAAAGTGAGTATAGGTTTTTGAAGCCAGCCTGCAAAATAAAGGAAAACAGAAGCAAAATCAGCAAATGACAACTATCTGTCTCATCATCTTTGAACTCAACAAGATCTTAAAGGAGCTATTTCTCTGTTCACAATGTAAAGTAAGATCAACTAGTACAAATCAAAGCTGGTCTTTTACAAGAGTCCTTTACTATAGAGAAAAATGCACAATAAAATTGATCTGGTCATTTATCAGACTCAAACTTTGCAGGCAGATACACTAAGGTTCAAACAGAGCTTGAGCTAAAAGAACTTCTGTCTAGGGAAAAAGCAAGGAGTAACAGAGCAACGTCAGGAAAGAGCTATAAGACACTAGACACTCTCGTGTCTATAAAGCTATAGACACTTTTGGTATCTAAAGGAATAATTAGCCTCCTACCAGAGGACATCCTTGGCACTGCTTTAAAAGAGAAAGGAAGATTATATGCTCTACCGATGCAAAGAAGGAAACATGTAACCTTCTGTGTACAAGGATGCTTGTCTATGAAGCCCACTGTGGGTTGTCCCACTGACAGTGGAACCATTCAAGAAAACTCAAACTAACCAAAGACCTGGGTGTTCAGCCATCCCTTTACCAGAGACCTTTCTTTACTCAGCGCACGTTCGTGGTCTTGAGAAAAGGCCTAGTTTGGAAAGAATGGCAAAAATTTTCATGACTTCATAAAAATAACCTTTTGCTTATGAACTTGTGTTAGGATTGCTGGTGTGTAATTTTAAGGCTATCATTGACTTTAGGAAACCACACGCAGCACGTTTATGCTTTCTTCTGAGCTTTGATCTTTGACAAAGTGTTCTGCAGATTCTTCAGACCTTTAGAAGGTCCCTAACATGAAAATGATACTTACTATTCCATGATGAGGAAAACTGTGTGTCTGAGGTCTCCAAAAGAATTAGCTGGTTAAAGGATTTTTAGTCCATCTCAAAATAATTACAAGTTGCAAAAAGACAATGAATATGCATGTGTAAATCTTAACGTAGGCAACATTAAAAAAACATATATTTAGGCATATACCCAAGAGAATATAGAGCATGATAAACTATAACATAAAAGGCTGAGAAACCTGCACCTCTCATAACACTAGCCCTGCAAAATAGAAGGCATGTCAAGCTGAAGATATCCTATTTACAGTTTCTGGAAATACAGAGAAAGAATCAAGGCAGAATCAACCTGAAATCACATGCTGCATCCAACTGGTGTTAATGGAAACCTAGTGACAGCCCATTTCTGACTTCCATCTCTCTGTGCCAATACTGACAAAGGCCTAGAGAAAACACTCTTATATGGTCATACTGTAGTATAAGGACTGAAAGCACAGCCTAACATAAGAAAATAAATTGAATACGATAAATCAGAGTTCTGATGAAAGTGAAATTTTTAAAAATTGAGTTAACAAGACTAGTTTTTACTAGCACAAATTCACATTCACATTCAGAGTGAACTCACAAAGCTGGTGCAGTCACATTTGAGTCTGCAAGGGAAATACTGTCCACACAAGAAAGGAAAAAAGAGGAAACTGGGACTGAAGAGTTTCCTACCAGAGATAGCAAACATATGGAAACTTGGTAGAATGGAAGAATGGAAGAAACAAAACCTGTAAGTAAACTCAAGGGAACCTCAGTTATTTTCGAGGAGGGGAGGGGATAAGGGAGGAGAATATATTCAGCATTTTATTTACTTTTCTTTACAAGGCTAACATCTTTTCCACCTAATATGAGAGTTTCAGACCAGTTCTTGAAAATATTTAGCAGTGAATACCACTTTTATCACTATAAAGAGTCTCAAAGCACATCATAAAGACACTCTTTGCAGGGCTACTTTGTTACTATGTGGTTACAAAACACTAATCCATGTCTGTGTTCAACAATATCCTTCACAAAAAACATAATACAAAATTAACCTAGTCATTTTGACTAAGACGTAGCTTCTCAAAAACTCAGAAAGAAAAACCCAAATTGTTCCAGTTCAGAAGAAAAAATGGTGGTGGAATTAGGCTGTTTCTCTGATAAATTCAACTTATCTAAAAATAATATATAAATCTTATTTCCATAAATAGAAAAGACACTGGGCATGCCTTTCCTTTTGTTTTTAAAAATAAAGCAACATTACCAGCTTCTTAGGCTTCATCTATTGCTTCTCTGTAGGCGAATCTTTCCAGCCCTCTCTGCCTAATCTCTGCCTTTCTTGTGCACAATATACCTCTTTATAAAATATCATGAGACAGAAATGTTTGTATTCCCACGCAAGCACATTTTGGGCCTGTGACAATGCTTGGATTCAAATCTACTACTGCTTATTAAATAATTTTACAGTTTCTCACAACTCTCTTACCAGCAAATGGATTACTAAGAGTCTGATTTCACAACACACTGTCATAGGAAAGCATTTTTAAACCATGTGTCTGTTCAAACAGCACATACTTTAAAACCAAAGAGATTTACAATATTGAATTGTACCTTATTCTCTTTGTATCTCCTAAGATCTGCTATACAGTATTCTTTGAATAATTTATCATAATACCTCTTGGCAAGCCTCTTCTCCCTGTAACAAAAGGCATTATTTTTATTAAGCACATAACACAATTGATTTTACACTGCAATGCCACTAGCAATACAAGGACACATTCCATCTGAGAAGCACAGGTTGCAGAGCCAGAAATGCAACTGGAATGCACTCAGTCAGCTAAGGTGCAATGACCACAAAAATGGAAAACAGTTCTGAAGTACACCTACACCACAAAATAAATCATATTTTCTTCACAATGTAGAAAATGTAGAAAACTACATTTTCTTCACAGTTGTCAGAACAGTTGATTGACTCGCAGAGAACGCACAAGTATTTGTTAGCTCTGTCATCAATTAAATTTATTACGGAGTGGTATTACTCTACCTACTAAAGGTCTTTTATTTTTAAACGTATGAAAGATCAAAGAATGAACACCAAGTATGCATAGTAATTCTTAATAGGGACACGACAAATTTAGCACAAAGTGATCTAAAAATAGCATCTTATAAAAGTTCTAGTTACCAGTTCATGTCTACTTCATCATGTTCTCTCCACAGGAATCTATGGTTTTCTCTTATAACATCAAGATCCGTCTTGTCATTTGCACTGTAAAAGGGTACTTTTTTTTAGTACAGTATAACATTAAAATGAAAAGTCAGTCACACCATAATCTGGCAAGCATCTCTATTTCATACTTGCTATCGCCAGATCATTGCCTAGCTCATATTACTATGGAATAAAAACTATTCAAAAATACATTACAGCTTGACATACCTTTTCCAAAAAGAAAAGAAAAAAAGAAAAATCACAGTGAAACTTTCAGCCCTGAAACTGTGACTGACTTGATCCTGTCTGAAAATACTTTTTAAGGAAACAGTTTCATTAGGAGGCAGTTATGTAGAGTGCTGAGGAAGATTATTGTTATTCTGGACAACGGGTAGTTATTCTGCACATTTCATAATTATTCCAGACTGATATTTTCAAGGTACTGCCAGAAATTTCTCAATGTACCTTCATAAAATTTAATGTTCACCTGTCATCTTTGCTTTTACATAACAAAAAAAGAAAAACTCACTTCATGGAAAGTTGTTATATAAAGATGATGGTGCAAAATGAAACAAAACTGTTAACAATTCTGGTTTGGATAACTACTCCTTGTGATCAAAAGCATTTACAATGTTATACATACACTCACAAAAAACCCAAACCTTAAATTACAGTATGCATTTAACAGCTTTAAGTATGGGGGCAGTGAAGGGAAGCTTCCTAATACCCCTTACCTGGAACTCCTAATACCCCTTACCTGGAACGCCGGAAATCTTCCATTTTGCCACCATAGTACAGAATGTAGTCACTCACCAACTTCTTATGTCTTGCATACTGAATAAAGTAATTAAGGATTCCATTTCTGTGCTTATCTATTTTTCCAAAAGTTTAAAACTACGAGAATAATAAAAAACACTTCTATAACTATAAAAATAAATACAAACAGAATAAATAACAGAAATATTTTCTTCTCAAAAACAATTCATTAGTTTCCAGAAAGAAATGATTTAATTAAAACCTTTTACTTTATAACCTTTTATAAAGGGAGCATTCCACATATATAACTTCAAGGCAATTTAATCTTTAAAGTCTTGTTCACCTGCAAGATATTTACAGTCCCATATTTTTAAAGATGCTCTCTAAGCATAAACACGGGAGTGGGGTTCAATTCTTCTGCTGCAATTTAGTACTGATGTTTAGGTTTGAAATACTGTTTGTACAGTATTTTGTTTTTATTATAAAACAGGCTCCCAAAATGAAATAATTTATCATTCTTCAGCATTAACATAAAAATAAAAGTTATCTGCTTTAGTTTGATTCGGGATCTGAATGTCACAAGAAAGTACCTAACACTTTTCTAAGAAGACTTGGGCCTCAGAGACAAGATTTAAGGCATATTTGGTACTATAATAGGGTCAAATATATATAACTATCTTACTGGAAAATAAATAACCTCAAATACAGAAAAAATATAGATGATTATTTAAAAATATTTTTAATAACATACATATGATTATTTTCAAGCATTTGTAATTAACTTCTATGGTGTTTATGAAACAAGTCAGGAAATGCATTATCTCCTGGTACATATCCAGCCAACTACTATGTAAGTGTGAAAAAGAGTAATTTGTATCAGCCTACCATTTTGGCATGAACTAGAATAGTTTTTGAGAAACCATTTTCAAAGAAAATTTTAATTTAACCTCAGGATGTATTTTCTTTTCTTTTTTTTCCCTCTACATAGAAGAAACAGAATGGACAACTGTGAAACAAGCCCAGAAGGTATGGCCCTTAAACACACTGAATACAATGTACTGTTTTGTATTTCTATCAGAGTTATTAAACACCATAACTGTAAAGGTCTTACAGAAGATACTCATAGAAAAGACTCTATACAATGAGTTCTCTAGTAACTCCAGAATATATGTGCTTTTCAGTGGCTAATGATAGCCTACAATCTCCATGGGACTGATTAAGACATGTCCCTTTTACAGGCATGAGAAGGTACATGTAGTTACGGAACAATTTCAAATGCTGGTTTGAAGGACTTATTTTCTGTTTACTCCAGTTGAAGTAATTCTTTCCAAATTTAATTTATTCTTTTCTTCCATCTTTAGTAACTTTTACAGCTGAAGAACAGCTGTTTAAACGAACAAGGAACTGGCAATATTTTGCAGACATTCAGTTAAAACATATCCTAGGTGAAAACTAAATAAAAGGAGAAATCTTGTAAACTAAATGAAGCAGTAGTCATAAAAATAGCTACAATGATGCATGAAGTACAATTAAGAGGTTCAAAAAGGAAGAACTAAAATACAACTAAATATGATACAACAGAGGCTTACACTCAAGCATCTGTAGAACATATTATTGGAGATAATGCTGCCTTAAACAGTCTTTTGAATTAACTGATGTGTTTCTGCATTTCAAGTACAAATTCATTTGTCCAAAGATGGCAGCCTCATATAGAATTACATTTTATGAACACTCAAATGGAAAGGCAAAGGCCTCTTTGTGCCAACCTAAGCAAAAGCACTGTATAACTTAGTCTAGAACAAGATAACTGAACAAATAGGGGGAGTTTGGAAATGCCTCCTCTAGGTAGATCTCAGTAGTAACAAGTTATTTTGAAGAAAGACTCAGTATTTGATGCCACACTATAAATTTGTTATAACTGAGGAATCTGAAATATTCCTTGACAGATATATTACATCACAGTAGAAAACCTGTTTTTCCAATCTCAAAGTAAATTAAATAGAAGGATACAGCATCCATTGCTATCCAATGAAATCTTCTTTTTCTTGCTTCTTCCCTGTTAATGATAAATATGTTTGAACAAAAGATAACTTCACAGCATGGCAAAAAATCTCACAAGAACAGTAATAAAACGTACCTATCCCATTCTTGAGCTGCGAGTTGACTGTGAGCCACATGGCTTTGTTTTGGTTTTTGGAATGGCTTTGTCAGAAGCTCATCTTGTACACTGATGATAGGGAGAAGAGTAGGGAGAAGTAAGTTGGTTAAGAACTTTTCCTAAGCAGTACGACTTCTATATGCCAAAGTTTGCACTAACTTGAACAGCAGTAATTTATATATCAGTGGTAAACTGAATAAAACCAAACCTCGGAATCAGTGTCAGGTTAGATTTTACTTCATTTGCAGGACAAATCCCGAAAGGTGCTTGCTTACAATCAATATTTAGGGGAAAAAAAAAACCACTTATAATGGCACCTCTTGATTGTTATAAACACTATTATTCGAGAATCACACTAAACATTTTCTTCACTTTCACTCTACCTTGAGATCCATCTGCAAATCTATGCTGCCTAGCCAAGTCAAAAAAAGGAAGGACAGTATGTTCATAGAAAAAGAGAGACTGTTAGTAATCATATCCTATCCTTTCATGATAAAAATTTCTTGACACCTCATTAACCAAAGTCACTTTTCTTAGTGTAGTCACAAGAACTGCTAATTTAAAACCGATTTAAATACTGTCTTGTGAACAGTATCTGTCACTTAGCAGCTAAAAATACCTTCAGAATTTGACATATTAATGAAAAGTTAAATAAAAAGTGTTGCACCTTAACTAGCCAGAAGTATACTTAGTTTCAGTCATTATCAGAGGTGAAGAAAGTTTTCCATAATTACTAGCTGACAAAAAGATACAAAGTCAGAAACCAGTATAAAGCAAGCCAAGGAATTTATATTTTAATCTATGGAATATGGGATACTAACAACTAAGCATAAAGTATGCTCAAAAGGATCAATAGAAACAAAACTCCCCAAAGGATATGCTGTAAAACATCAATATGCAGAACTGAAGACTACTGTTTTCCTTAAAGCAAAAATAAATAACGCCATACTGCAAAAGAGGGATATATGCATATGCAGTGAAGTCACATTAGTGCATTCACACTACTCAACAACAGTGTGCCTGCGCAAAGGTAAGGATTATACTTTGAAAGGCTCCTGATGGTTAACAGCAAAAGTAGAATGCTAAAATAAGTAATGGCATTTGCAAACTAAAACTGAAAAAAAACCCCTTCACTGTTTTAATGCAGAACAACTATATTTATAAGATGAATGGAATACCAAAATGCCTCCTATTATCCCAGTTATTATAAATTGAAGATTTTGCCCCAGAATGCATCCAGACAGTACAAAACCCATTCTTTCAATTCCACTACAGAGTGGAGTGTGCAAGTGTGCTAGGAAATTCTCCAGCAAGCCTTCCTAAATCCAAAAACTGATCAAGAAAGACACAGAAAAAGGTAGGGAAAAATAGACTTGTACCATCTAGATTGGTATCGTGCCTAAAGAAGTAAAGGTGCCAGAAAAAAAAAACACTTAAAAAAATATTTATAACAGAATGTGATCAGATTTTGAAAAAAAAAAAGGCCATTAATTGTACAAAATACTGAACTAACTGGTAAAGACAGTTTCAAATAAGAGATGTGCAGTTACTTTCCAATGAACGAGTACAACTTTCCCAATAGAATTTCCAAACCTCTTCATAAATTAAGTAATAAACAAGCAATATCAGTTCTTCTTTTCCTTCAAGAGGGTGTTTTATGTCTGCAAAGCCTGCTGCCGACTGGCCTCTTTTTTCTTTGCTTTCTGTTATCAGTTCCATACATCCTGACACATTTGAGCAAAGTGAACAGAGCAGACAAACCCCAGCAGCTGATGCTCATGTTTGGAAAAATGAAGTAGTCTGCTGTCTGAACTGAAAGGCATATACACAGCAGATGCACACAGCAGAACTGATCCTACTCAGCTGCCCCTTGGAGATATGCCCTGGCAAACGTGATATAAGGAGATGCAGCAAGCAAACTGGTTCATTTTTCATAATCAACATCAGTTAACACACTTAGCACAGTCTTATATACTACAGGCCCTTTGCATGCAATACATAACATGAAGTGTTAACTCTGTGTTATATTACCTTCTAGTCTTCTGCGCAGATTTTTCTCCATTTTCCTCATCACTAAAATCAGAATCATAGTCACCACGACCTTTTACCTGAAAATAATTACAGATAATGCAATCAATGCACCTGCTAAAGTAATATCTACAAAACTTAACTAGAAATCAGTATTGTGCGTCATGCAAAAGCAATAGAGCAAAAAAGAGCAAATACTCTCAAATGTCCAAACCAGACGCAATGAAGAATGCTGAGTTATTTTCCAAATACCTGATGTCAAAAGAATAGAGGTTTCCCATGGACTTCATCAGTCAAAAAAAAAGTTCTATAAGTAATCTATATACAGATATTTCCATATTTAATAGAAATTAAATATGTAAATACAAATAACATATTTGGCCTTTGTTTTCAAGCAATCACGCTTATACAGGAAAAAGGTGAGTATTTTCCTCTAGGAGCTGTTCTTTCAGGGGTCTGGAAGACAGCAAGTGATGTGCCCATGTTAAACAAAGCTGAGAAAAAAAGTTGTTTTGTGGGCTGTGGTATAAAATTCTAGATCACTGGATCTTACATTAGTAAGATCTGGAAATCAGGTTGACATGATCACCAAAATACAAAAACAACAAGACTTCTGGGAAAAAAACAAGAAAACATAAGGTTTAATAGGCACTATTTTGCAAAGACTGTTCATACCAAGAAATAAAATATTCTATTCTACATACTTTGAGACTACAATGTAAAACTAATGGATATAGAAAAAAAACACAAATAAAAAAAATGCCTATCTTAATGTTACCAAATTCTCAAGCATCAAGATGATGATCCATCATCTGTGTTTTTCCAGGCCATAGTTACATGTCCAATTCTTTCAGAAGTTGTGGCAAAGCAGACCAATTTCCTCTCCCTCCCTCCTACTTTTGCATCCTTCCAGTTGCTTAGCTGCAAAAGGCTGAGAAACTATAGGCAAAACAGACAAAGAAGTGACCCGGGTTATAAATGACCCTACCCAAAGAAGATTAGTTTAACTCAGACCAAGTTCCCTGATACAGCTCACTCAGAGCCCCATACCCAGCTACGCCAGCCAACTGGAGGGGTAGCACAAGGACAAAATAACTAGAGCTGGGAACTGCCTAGCCTGGCACTGACACCAAAAAAACACTTACATAACTCGAACATAATTAGAGCTAACAAGAGAGATGGTTATTACATATCTGCATGTGGAAAGGTTTGGCACATACTCTGTAAGTATCTTGGTATCTCCTGCTATGTGCAAGAAAAGAAAATGGATTAGAAATCCAGTTTATGTATTTGATTCGGCATTGTTGATTGCTACGTTTCACACAATCATATTCCTCCTTGGGGAAAATACAGAAGCAAAAAACTTTCAACTTTCTCCTGAAAGTGAAAAAGAGGTTTCCAGTAGATCTACAGGACAGTCAAATAATGAAATAAAAGTTCTTCCATCAATTCACAACTGTGTTGTGACTTCGTTTGGCATTTGCTTGCTACTGTAATATAACAAGAACACCATTGAAAGAAAGCAAAAAGGCATCATTTCTACTGGCTTTTCAGTTACTTCCAAGATTAAGCACTGAATGGAGTACATCAAAACAATTTCAGAGTTCAGGGCAGTATGAGAGAAAAAATAAACAACTACATAGCAGTCTACCACAGTAGCTGAAAAAAAAGAAGAATCTGTTAGGAACAATTTTGATGAGGTCCCTCAATTTTTAAAAATTCTTTTTCCTGCTTTAGTAATGTCATGTTCTTTATTTGAACTTTCCTGAAAAGAGACACCAAACTGACACAACTCTCACAGAAGTATACGCTTGAACAAAGAGAAAGTTAAAGCACCCTATTAGCCTATTTTTCAGAAGACTCATTAAAAAAAAAACAGAGCAGTCAAAAATTAAATACTGCAGATGTCTGTAGTGCTCTGGTGTAAGTGGGCCTCATGTCCTGACAAAAGAGCAGCAGTGGTGCTTATATCCCCCAACACAGTCCCATGTTTATCCGCACTTTAGCTGCTGGTTTCATGGTTTAAAAACAAGTCTGTCATTATTTTTGTTAATAAATCTTATGTGAACTCTATAAAAAGCTGTGTACATTACAAGGTTGAGGAAATATTTGTGAAGCATTTTTATGCTCAGCTTCTAAATAAAGAATATCATAGCAATCCATGAAATATTTTAAATAGCAAAAATAATTCTTCTGAGTTGAACCTTGAGTGTTTCCTTTACACTGAAAGAAGGGAGGAAAGTTCTCACTGACAGGATGTATTCAAAAGTCAACAGGAGACATAAAATAATAGTCAAAGAAAATACAGAATAAAAGGAGAGAAAGGTGCTTCTAAAGTGGTAAAGTGGATCATCACAGGTGATCAGCCTCAGGAAAGGAGATATACTTTGTAATCAGCTCCAAACTGGTATTGTTATCTAGGAAAAAAAAATTAAATGATGAAAGTAAAGCTGCTTCGACAGCTACATACTGCAAGAGGCTCTCAGGAGCTGGTGACCACTTTTCAAAAAGCTGTGACTGGAAATTTAGGGGCAGGTATGGCTAAACACTGAGAGGACCTCAGAGGCGCTTCTGATGGGGGAACTCCCGCAGCTTCTAATATTCCCCTGGATCTACAGCCCAAAGGCACATTCCGGATGGAGAGAACTCATGGCAGAAGTCCTGATCCTTACAGACCACTGCTCCTACAACAAACACAACAGCAGAACAGACAAGTCCTGCACTCAAAGTGTGTTTTTACCAGAGCAGATGCAGCACTGTTGGAAGGCACTTGTGAGCAGTGACTGAACGAAAGCCTTACGAGGATACCAAGTGGGGCTCACTTAGAGGTAAGACATAAGAAGGAACTCTTTATCTGTCAAAGAACCTCATCCACCTGCTAATGTAGCCTTTTGCTTTGGAAGCTCTGTGTAAATAGACATGCATTGTTAAGTTCACTCTCTCAAGACTGATTTCTCCCTTTCCTTAACAACAACAACACACAAGTAAAACACAGGTAAGATGCAACTGCAGTGGAGGACGGACAACTGCAAAGCCTGGGCCTTAGGCCGGCGCAGGGCAGTGCCTGCTCAACACCCTGTCCACACGAGGACCACGTCAGAGGCCTCACCTGGAAGCTGTAATCCACCACCTGGGCACAAAACTTTGCAGTTAAGTTTAAGTAGTTTTAACGCTGCTGCCCTCTGTAAAAGGATTTAAAATTCAAGTTATAAACAGTAGAAGGAGAGGAGAAAGAAAGACCTTCACAAAACACCCTTCCCACACACACACCCTTCTGCCGAGCTTTATTAAAGGCCTAGAAGGAGGACAAGCGACCACGGCGAGGCCAGGCCCGCACCCGCCAGGCACCGCCCGGCTCGGTCATGGCGGCGGCCCCCGCTCGCGGCTCCGCCCGCCGTTCGCGGCCGGCGGGGGAGGCCGGTACAGGCCCTGCCGCAGCCGCGGCCCGGCCGCCCGCCCCGCTCCCGCCTCCGTGGGCCGGCGCCACTCACCGCCGCGGAGAGCCGCAGCTGGCTCGGCACCATGGCGGCGGCAGCGGGCTCGGCCCGGCTTGGCCCGGCCCGGCCCGGCTCAGCTCAGCTCGGCGTCGCGGGCCCTGCCGGAAGCGCGGGGCAGAGGCGGAGCGGGGCCGCGCCGGGCGCTGCTTCGGCGTATGGCGGGCGCGGGCCGGGCGAGCGGCGCGGCGGGGAGCCCGCGGGGGAGGGCGAGCGGCGAGGGGAGGCGAGGGGCGGGCAGGGCCGCGCTGCGCCGCGCAGGGGGCGCGCGGAGGCTCCCGGCCCGGCGTGAGGCGCCGCTCGCGGCCGCTCTCCGCCTCGGGGAAGGTAGGACGCGGCAGCGCGCGCTGCCGGGGGCGGCGGGCTGGGGGCGGCCGCGCACGGAGCCTCGTCGCCCCTCGCGGCGCGAGCGGGGCGGCCCGGGCGCTGCGCTCCGTAACGTGTCTCAGCGGCAGGAGGAGGGAGGCGCGGGCGGCCGGCAGGAGCCGCGCGTCGCGCGGGAGGGAGCCCGGGACCGGCCCGCCCGGCCGGGCGTGAGGGACGGGGTCGGAGCGGCGACGCCGGAGCCCCGGGCGCCCCCGCCGCCCCGCGCGCTTCCTCCTGCGGTTACCGCGAGCGGCCACGCGCCCCACGGCTGCGGGAGCTTCAAACCAGGCAGGAAACGTTCAGCACTGGAATGCGCTTCCCTAGTTACTAAAGACGGATTGTAGCTCATAGCCAGTTGCTATCCTGTGGAAGGGCGGGCACACACCTTAGCAGGGTCTGTCTCCATACCTTGACTGCTGAATGTTAGTTTTAAGAGCAAAAGTATTTCTTCTCTTGACCTAGTAACTCTGTCCCTCACTGTGCTGCTACTACTTGGGAGGGATTTACAGCTGATGCCCAGTCCCTTTCCATGGAGAGCAGTTTGGTGTCCCAACATGCTCATCTGAGCGTATTCTATGTTTTGTCAAAGTCCCTTTGAATGTGGCCCATTTCTTCTAAAGTGCACAGACTCTGTGTTGCAAAAATGGAATTATCCTGATTAATAATTTAAATATCTCAAAATAAATAATGTATATTCAAGAAGCTGTAATAGCAGGCATCGTTCTGTTGTTCCTCTCTCACGGAAATGGCAGACTGCTTTAGTATGAATGAATCCTGACATGATTCTGGAAACTGGGCCAGCATATCATTGATTATGCACTTTGAAGGAAAGTGGGAAAAGGTAGAGAGATTTGCAGCGTTGGGATCTGTCCTCAGTGTATTATGGCTATTAAAGCCTTCATTTAGAGAAAATGAACTTTCCAGGACAGAGGAAAATTCGACAGTGAGTCCAACTTTACAGCTGTTGTAGATGCTTTTGTTATTTTATATACGTGTGTGTATATATATATTTATATTCCCTTAGAATAATGGCTAGATCCTATCTGCCTGTGTTGCTACAAAATATTTCAAGCTTGACTGATTTTTATGAAGAGGTTACTGTGTGCTACTGTACGTGCTATCACTATCTAAGTGGATTAGAAATGACCTTCTGAGTAAACTGGTGTTAAAACTGGACCTCTCCTTAGCCCTTAGTCTATGGATTATAACTTGATCCTATGGGAATATGTCCATAGGTAAACCTAGTGTCAGTATCATCTGACATGGAAAAGGGCAGTTATCTCATCTGGGCCTTGCATGGCCGAGAAGTATGGGGAAAAATGAAGGAGAAGTGAGCATGACCCCTTAAGGGAGATGGGCTCTATGGATTTCAGTTGGATTGCAATCACTGTGTAGCCATATGGGTTCAGTTTTCTACTCTAGGTAAGCTGATCTATGGATGAGTTTGCTGACAAAGAGAACATTCCTCCTCTCAAATTGATGCAGATGCTCATCCAATCATTTCATTCTGCAGCACTTTTTTCTGCTGTTGGTAGCTCCTTCAACTCTGTTGCTGCAATATCTAATGAGTGTTAATGCTGGTGCCAGTAGAAAGGAAGGAAGGAAGGAAGGGATGGGAGGGGAGGAAGGGAAAGGTGGAAAACAGGGGCACCGCTTTCAGCTGCAGCTCTCCATTAGATCAGCTTAGCAGTGACTCTTAAATCACGGTAGCCCTGAAATTCATGATCCACAAAGGAGACTGACAATCATTGTGCTTTTCCCTTTACTCCTGCCCTAAATCTGAAAATGGGCCGACTTTGAGAGACAGTGTGTTGAGACAGCCTGAGTCGGGCAAAATTGAAAGCCTTGAAGAAGTAAATGTTTTCTCTTAAGTTTTCAAGCCATTGCCATATTCTTTATACAACTTCATTTACCTCAGTTTCTTATGGCTATGTATAACAATTTGAGAGAAAGTTTTAGAAAGAGAAAGTAGAAATTACTGAAAAGCAGGGGTATTCTTACTATTAACAACACAATTTAAAGCCTATGATTCTGAAATACTTCCAAGAATTTGTCAGCTTCATTATTTATTACTCTCTTTTCTTGCAGTTTTCCATGTAATCACAAACAGTATTATGCAGACCACTGAGATTGGCAAAGAACTAGACAATAAGTGCCAATTTTATTGGATTGAATTTACCACTTCTTGGTCATTCAAATTCATTAGATCAGTGGCAGATCTGCTGACCTCAGGAGATTTATGTACACTTACCGACTCACGTCACAACTCATGTTGTTTGAGCTGGAGAGACAGGAGCAGATTTTAACATCTGTGGTGGACCTTACTATGTTCAGGGCAGACCTCTGACCTTTCTTATAATTTAGGAGAAACTGTGTATTACTTAAGCAAACTATTCAATTTATGCCACTTATTTTTATGAAGGGCACTTTTACCAATCCTTATGCACCAAAAGAAGGTATTAAATCATAGAGCTGCGATGTTCAAAAGACCATACTGATCATACTTAATGAATTGTTCCTAAAAGCTTACAATATCGGAGATTTCATAGCATGAATAGTGTAATCTATTACACTTTTAGGTATATATCTCTTTTCTTCCCCCGATATCTCAGAGAAGTCTGTGTTGCTACTTGAGACATTTTCTTAATGCCCTAAGCTGATGTAGAAGACAAGAATCAATCATCTTTTTTGTTATAACAAATGTTTTAATATTGAAATATGAATGCCCAAGGTCTTCTCTTTTTGAGGTTAAATGAATCAAAGTATTTCAAGTTGTGGCTGAAGGTTATATATTAAAATAGGTTATATTTTTGAGAAGTCTTTTATCTTGCTCTCCTTCAGACTTTTTAGTTTCTCTTTTTATGAGGTACAGTACGCAGCTATTTAGTGCTCATCAGTATTTATCTGGGAAGAAAATTACCTTAGCCTTCCTGCAGGACATTATTTTCTCCTCAGATCTGCTGGTAAAGTTGTTTAATTCAGTAGCATTTGCTTGTTTGGTTAAAATTGGTTAGAATTAGTTGGCTGGTTAGAAAATGAGATCTTTGCTATTCCCTCCTGATTTTTAACAAAGCACATCAGACCAGCAGGCCAGGAAAGGTGGTTCTTGCTGGAATGGAGAATGAGAAAAAAGTGGCCAGTGCCAACTGAGGCTGTTCCATGGCTGTTTGCAGAGTACATGTATGACTGCCTTCAAATTTTATAAGGAAAAAGCAACATGGAACCATCAGAAGTCTTAGTGAAATTGGGATTTGTTATATCTAATCTTTATTCTTTGTCCATTAAGACAGTAGTTAGCTGAAAAATGAGGAAACTAGAATTCCTAACATCATTTGATTTTGGACTCTTTCCAACTCCTACATGTCTATTATGTAGGTTGCCAAATCACCTATTTTCAAATCTTTGTAGGAGTAACTGCCCAGTGGTCTGTCATTTTCCTGATTTGTCATCCACCCCTCCATTTCAATTTCACTAATACTTAGTAAAAAAGCAAGTAGAATTGAAAATGTAAATTCACGTAAGTTGGTAAAATGATGCTCAGTAAATGTAGTTTTTCTTCTTTTAGTTGTGCCCTTGCACAGTTTTAGGGATGAATTGCACCTTCCAACAAGCCCTGACCAAGGTAAATCCTCAAGTGAGCAGGATGGCTCAGTAGGCTCAGCCTTGCTGAGAGCCAGGGCAGTCAGTGGGGCTGTGGCCAGCAGTGATGGTTCATGCTCAGTCCTTCCCCTGAGGGAAGGACTCACAGCTAGCCCTCTAACTAGCCCTCTCAGGCTAGTTATTAAAGACTACTGACACTGCAGTTCTGTAAGGGGCTAGATATCATGTAGAGAGCCTGTTGAAATGCATATTTATTTTGTCTCAGATTCAGGAAATGCGATGTTCCACACTTAGTCATGTAAACTTGGAGTTTAACTAGCCACTAGATGTCAATGTTGTTGTACTAAAACGCAAATACAATCACATTTGTTTGGCTAATAAAGTAATTTACTCTGCACTCTCTAAAAGCACTCTGGATTTGTAATTTTTTTTTCTGTATGGGATGATATAAAAATAAAATAGACAAATTTCTGTCTCCATTATTTCAAGAATATCTGTGCTATTTTATGCTATTATGGAGTTGCACTTAGGATTTCAGTATGTAAATACTGTTAGAAAAGTCCTTTGAAAAAAATGGCATCTGATTTTAAGTTTTACTCCTTATTCCAGAACTCCACATCCTTGTGTAAGTGGCCACAGTAATTTGTATTGTCTTTAATTTGTAGTAGGATAAAATAATGATGGTAACACATAATAATCCTAATACAAGCATATTGAATTTCCTGGTTTCCTAGATTACAATTTTCTTCTCAATTATTTCTTGGTGGGACCGTTGGAAGTCAATGTCAAATACACCAAGAAGGGAGAGATTTTTAGAACATTAATCCTTCCAAGATGATACATGATTAGGCAGACTTGGTTCCTGTGAAAATCTGGCCCTTATTTTGTGTAACTTAAGGCGGAGCTGCAAGATGATGGTATTTTAGAGGATTATGTGATGTAGAATTAGGCCTGCATCCTCCTATACCTTTAAGGTGAAAAAAGTAAACTTTCACAATTATTTGGGGGCTAATGCACTTGTCTGCAGACAGAGGTACCATTGGCCAGCGACAGAGCACATAATTTTGGTCTTACAGACCACATTTTG